CTCAACCACGTGGTTTAGCATCGTCATCATCGTCACGTGGACATTGATAGCAGCTCAACCACGTGGTTTAGCATCGTCATCATCATCACCACGTGGACATTGATAGCAGCTCAACCACGTGGCTTAGCATCACCACCACCACCACCACGTGGACATTGATAGCACCTCAACCACGTGACTTAGCATCGTCATCGTCACCACGTGGACATTGATAGCAGCTCAACCACGTGGTTTAGCATCGTCATCATCACCACGTGGACATTGATAGCAGCTCAACCACGTGGTTTAGCATCGTCATCATCGTCACGTGGACATTGATAGCAGCTCAACCACGTGGTTTAGCATCGTCATCATCGTCACGTGGACATTGATAGGGGAATAGACACAGAGTACCCGGAGACAGATGCACGCAGTGACCACGGGGAGAGAGACGCAGACTCCACATCTGCAGCAGCAGCAGGCATCGTCAGGGTCACGGGGTTGAACCCACGACTTCCTGTATACCGGGCGCGGTAGTCAACATCTCATAGCCACCGTGATGATGATGAGAGAGAGAGACGCAGACTCCACATAGACCTCCTGTAGACCAGGCGAGGTAGTCAACATCTCCTAGCCACCGTGATGATGAGAGAGACACACAGACTCCACATAGACCTCCTGTGTACCAGGCGAGGTAGTCAACATCTCCTAGCCACCGTGATGATGAGAGAGAGACACAGACTCCACATAGACCTCCTGTAGACCAGGCGAGGTAGTCAACATCTCATAGCCACCGTGGTGATGATGAGAGACACAGACTCCACATAGACCTCCTGTAGACCAGGCAAGGTAGTCAACATCTCCTAGCCACCGTGATGATGAGAGAGAGAGACACAGACTCCACATAGACCTCCTGTAGACCAGGCGAGGTAGTCAACATCTCATAGCCACCGTGATGATGAGAGAGAGACACAGACTCCACATAGACCTCCTGTAGACCAGGCGAGGTAGTCAACATCTCCTAGCCACCGTGATGATGATGATGAGTGAAAGAGAGACACAGACTCCACATAGACCTCCTGTAGACCGGGCGAGGTAGTCAACATCTCCTAGCCATCGTGATGGTAATGATGAGAGAGACACAGACTCCACATAGACCTCCTGTAGACCAGGCGAGGTAGTCAACATCTCCTAGCCACCGTGATGATGATGATGATGAGAGAGAGACACAGACTCCACATAGACCTCCTGTAGACCAGGCGAGGTAGTCAACATCTCTTCGCCACCGTGATGATGATGAGAGAGACACAGACTCCACATAGACTTCCTGTAGACCAGGCGAGGTAGTCAACATCTCCTAGCCACCGTGATTATGATGAGAGAGATGCAGACTCCACATAGACCTCCTGCGCACCAGGCGAGGTAGTCAACATCTCCTAGCCACCGTGATGATGAGAGAGAGACACAGACTCTACATAGACCTCCTGTAGACCAGGCGAGGTAGTCAACATCTCTTGGCCACCGTGATGATGATGAGAGAGACACAGACTCCACATAGACTTCCTGTAGACCAGGCGAGGTAGTCAACATCTCCTAGCCACCGTGATTATGATGAGAGAGATGCAGACTCCACATAGACCTCCTGCGCACCAGGCGAGGTAGTCAACATCTCCTAGCCACCGTGATGATGACAGAGACACAGACTCCACATAGACCTCCTGCGCACCAGGCGAGGTAGTCAACATCTCATAGCCACCGTGATGATGATTAGAGAGACACAGACTCCACATAGACCTCCTGTAGACCAGGCGAGGTAGTCAACATCTCATAGCCACCGTGATGATGATGATGAGAGAGAGACAGACTCCACATAGACCTCCTGTAGACCAGGCGAGGTAGTCAACATCTCATAGCCACCGTGATGATGATGATGAGAGAGAGACAGACTCCACATAGACCTCCTGCGCACCAGGCGAGGTAGTCAACATCTCATAGCCACCGTCATGATGATGAGAGAGACACAGACTCCACATAGACCTCCTGCGCACCAGGCGAGGTAGTCAACATCTCCTAGCCACCGTGATGATGAGAGACACAGACTCCACATAGACCTCCTGCGTACCAGGCGAGGTAGTCAACATCTCCCCACCGTGGCGGTGCAGGCCTCCGACGTCCCCGGGGACGTCGCATCGCTGCGCTCGCTCCAGCACCTCCTCTATGACCTGCTCATCACCGCCGTGGTCGACATCGCTCTCAAGCTCGACCTGTCCACTCGACCCCGCGCGGAGGAGTCCACCGCTCGAGGGGAAACGCGCGAGGTGACCGCTCGACCCCCGTCTCTCCCGCCCCCTCCAACCCCCGCCTCTCCCGTGTGCTTGGCGGCACCGCCGCCGCTGCTGCTACTCGTGGCCACTTGCCCCTACAGCCCTGCTAGAGGCTACACGGGGGACCTTTGTCTGTGTGTGTGTGTGTAGGTGCTGCTGCTGCTACTAACAGCACTTGCCCCTGCTAGAGGCTACACGGGGGACCTTTGTCTGTGTGTCTATAGACACTGCGCCTGCTACTCACAGCACTTGCCCCTACAGCCCTGTTAGAGGCTACACGGGGGACCTTTGTCTGTGTGTCTATAGACGCTGCTACTGCTACTCACGGCCACTTGCCCCTACAGCCCTGCTAGAGGCTACACGGGGGACCTTTGTCTGTGTGTGTGTGTGTAGGTGCTGCTACTTGCTACTAACAGCACTTGCCCCTACAGCCCTGTTAGAGGCTACACGGGGGACCTTTGTCTGTGTGTCTATAGGGCACTGCTGCTGCTACTAACAGCACTTGCCCCTGCTAGAGGCTACACGTGGGACCTTTGTCTGTGTGTCTATAGACACTGCTGCTGCTACTCACAGCACTTGCCCCTACAGCCCTGCTAGAGGCTACACGGGGGACCTTTGTCTGTGTGTCTATAGGGCACTGCTGCTGCTACTCACGGCCACTTGCCCCTACAGCCCTGCTAGAGGCTACACGGGGGACCTTTGTCTGTGTGTCTATAGGGCACTGCTGCTGCTACTCACGGCCACTTGCCCCTACAGCCCTGCTAGAGGCTACACGGGGGACCTTTGTCTGTGTGTGTGTAGGTGCTGCTACTTGCTACTCACAGCACTTGCCCCTACAGCCCTGTTAGAGGCTACCTGGGTGTGGGAGTGACCTTTGTCTGTGTGTCTATACACACTGCTGCTGCTACTCACAGCACTTGCCCCTACAGCCCTGCTAGAGGCTACACGGGGGACCTTTGTCTGTGTGTCTATAGGGCATTGCTGCTGCTACTCACAGCACTTGCCCCTACAGCCCTGCTAGAGGCTACACGGGGGACCTTTGTCTGTGTGTCTATGGGCACTGCTGCTGCTACTCACAGCACTTGCCCCTACAGCCCTACTAGAGGCTACACGGGGGACCTTTGTCTGTGTGTGTGTCTATAGACGCTGCTACTCACAGCACTTGCCCCTACAGCCCTGCTAGAGGCTACCTGGGTGTGGGGGTGACCTTTGTCTGTGTGGGCAGGAGGTGGCCACCTCGTCGGACGTCGCCGCTCACCTCGTCGCTGTCAACCCCGCCGACCACAGCGCCCTCCTCAACCTCTGCAACTTCTGCTGGTGAAGCATCGCCACCACCATCATCGTCACCATCATCGTCATCGCCACAACCATCGTCACCACCAACCACCATCGTCACCACCACCATCGTCACCACCGTCACCACTACCACCACCGTCACCACTACCACCACCACCACCGTCACCACTACCACCACCACTACTACCACCACTACCACTGCCACCACTACCACCACCACCGTCACCACTACCACCACCATCATCACCACTACCACCACCACCACCGTCACCACTACCACCATCATCACCACCACCACTGTCACCACTACCACCACCGTCACCACTACCACCATCATCACTACCACTACTACCACCACCACCATCACCACTACCACTACTACCACCACCACTACCACCACCACTACCACCACCACTACCACCACTACCACTACTACCACCACCACTACCACCACCACTACCACCACTACCACCACCACCACCATCACCACTACCACTACTACCACCACCACTACCACCACCACCATCACCACTACTACCACCACCACTACCACCACCACCATCACCACTACCACCACCACCACCATCACCACTACCACCACCACCACGACTACCCTCCCCCCCTGCCCCCCGCCCCCACCCCCCAGGTCCGTGCTGCTCCCCCCGTCTGCGCGTGGCACCGCAGCGCCCCCGTCACCGTCACCGTCACCGCCACCGCCGCTGTTGGAGGCGTTCTCGCGCTGGCTGCCCCTGCTGTGCCGCCGCCTGATGGTGCCCCTGTGCACGGCTCACCCGCTGGTGGGCAGTGCCTACCGCCTGCTGGCACTGGCGCTCGTCATCGCCCGCAACGCCGGCTACTTCAAAGTACGTGTGTAGGTGTGTGTGTGTGCGTACGTGTGTGTACGTGTGTGTAGGTGCGTGTGTGTGTGTGTGTGTAGGTGTGTGTGTGTGTGTACGTGTGTGTCTGTGTGCACGTGTCTGTGTATTGATGTGTGTTGACGTGTGTGTGTGTGTGTAGGTGTGTGTGTCTGTACATGTGTGTGTACGTGTTGACGTGTGTGTGTGTTGACGTGTGTGTGTAGGTGTGTGTGTTGACGTGTGTGTGTCTGTACACGTGTGTGTACGTGTGTGTACGTGTGTGTGTGTGTTGACGTGTGTGTGTGTCTGTACATGTGTGTGTGTTGACGTGTAGGTGTGTGCGTGTGTGTTGACGTGTGTGTGTAGGTGTGTGTGTGTTGACGTGTGTGTGTCTGTACATGTGTGTGTACGTGTGTGTACGTGTGTGTGTGTGTAGGTGCCCTGGTGGTCCCCCTTTTTAAGAAGGGGGACCGCACAGACTGTAACAACTACAGGGGCATCTCACTCCTCAGTGTGCCGGGAAAGGTCCTGGCAAGGATTATTCAGCATCGCCTTGCCAGGCACGCTGAGGAGAGGCTTGCGGAGCCCCAATGCGGTTTCAGGAAAGGGCGGTCCTGCACAGATGCCATATTTTCTGTCCGTCTGCTACAGCAGAGGTGTAGGGAATTCCAACAAGACCTACATCTCTGCTTTATTGACCTGGTCAAGGCCTATGATACCATCAGTAGGCCTGGGCTCTGGGTCGTTCTTCGTGCTTTTGGAGTACCTGACCCTCTGCTCACGATCATTAAGGACCTTCATGATGGTGAGCGGGCCCGGGTAAAACTACGTGGCCGGGAGTCAGAGCCATTCCCTGTACACCTTGGGGTGCGACAGGGATGTCCTCTGGCTCCCACATTATTTAACATCTATTTTGACCACGTAGTTCGTGAAGCCTTCAATAGCTGTACCGGGGGAATCTCCATATGGTACAGATATAATGGGAGGCTAATCGATGCCCGGGTGCGGTCAAGGGATGGCTCCCTATTGCTCAACCACGTTATGTATGCTGATGACTTGGTAATAGCTGCTCAGTCAGAGGAGGAGTTGGAGACGCTGCTGCTGAGACTGGAGCGTGCCACTAAGAGGTGGGGCCTTACCATCAGCCCCACCAAAACTAAGCACCTGCCTGGGTATTTTGTACCATCGGACACTCCACCCCCACAACTCCCAATCGGTGATGGGGCAGTTGTGGAGAGAGTGGAGAGTTTCCCATACCTGGGGCAGTGTGCTTATGACTGGCTCCAGTTTAACAGCAGAGGTCTCACTCCGAATCAGTCGAGCGGCAATATCTTTTCATCGGTTGTGTAACGCTGTGTGGAAGCTACCTGGTCTGTCGCTCCGCACTAAGCTTCAGGTCTTCTCGGCCACGGTCATTCCCTCCCTTCTCTACGCTTGCGAAACGTGGACCCCCCTAATGGAACATCTTCGCCGGTTAGAAACATTTAGGCTGGCCTGCCTACGATCCATCCTGGGTTTAACCAGACTGGATTGTGTGAGGAGCTCACAAATCCTTGAAAGATCTGGGCAGGGTCCCATCGGTGAGCTCCTCCGGCAGGCAAGGCTGCGATGGCTGGGTCATGTAGCCCGCATGCCCAGCCACCGCATGCCGAAACAGCTTTTGTTTGGCCGGATTGAGGGGGCTAAGCGGGCGCGGCACGGGCTAGAGAAGAGATGGAGTGATGTGGTACAGGAAGACGTGGAGCTGAGTGGACTTGCCGATGACTGGTACCAGCGGTGTCAAGATCGGCCTCTGTGGAGGAGGCTCGTGAAGGATGCTACTGGGCAGTTGGAGGCAGTCGCCCTCCAACAACAACGGAGGGCGGAGGAGCGACGCTCACAACAGCGAGCGGAGCGCCGGGAGGCTAAAGCACAGCAGGTTGGCACAGTAGGGGGCACAGGTGGTGCATCAGCCAGTCATCTCAGTCAGTCGACCCGTGGCACCTGGGTCTGCCCCGTGACCTCCTGCCAGCGGGCGTTCGACACTTCACGTGGCCTCAGGGTGCACATAGCCTGGCACAAGCGTCGTGGTGACGTCACCGCCACTTAGTGGCGAATGGCGGTTGTTGTGTAGGTGCGCGTGTGTGTGTGTGTGCACGTGTGTGTGTGTGTTGACGTGTGTGTGTCTGTACGTGTGTACGTGTGTGTGTACGTGTGTGTGTGTTGACGTGTGTGTGTGTGTACGTGTGTGTGTGTACGTGTGTGTGTAGGTGCGCGTGTGTGTGTGTTTGTTGACGTGTGTGTGTCTGTACATGTGTGTGTACGTGTGTGTGTGTGTAGGTGCGCGTGTGTGTGTGTTGACGTGTGTGTGTCTGTACATGTGTGTACGTGTGTGTGTGTAGGTGCGCGTGTGTGTGTGTGTTGACGTGTGTGTGTCTGTACATGTGTGTGTGTGTACCTGTGCGTGTGTGTGTGTGTTGACGTGTGTGTGTCTGTACATGTGTGTGTAGGTGCACGTGTGTGTGTGTGCATGTGTGTGTGTGTACCTGTGCGTGTGTGTTGACGTGTGTGTGTCTGTACATGTGTGTGTACGCCCTTCATAGGTGCTCGCTAACAGCGCTTGCCCCTACAGTCTGTTAAGGCTATACGGGGGATCTTTGTCTTGATATTTGTGTGTTGACGTGTGTGTGTGTCTGTACATGTGTGTGTACGTGTGTGTACGTGTGTGTGTGTGTGTGTGTTGACGTGTGTGTGTCTGTACATGTGTGTGTAGGTGTGTGTGTGTGTGTTGACATGTGTGTGTGTCTGTACATGTGTGTGTATGTGTGTGCGGGCAGAGATGATCTCCCAAGTGAAATGCTGAGGGAGGGTGGCGTTTGTGCACAGACTGCCCTATATGACATCATAACAACGGTCTGGGCCGCAGGACGGGTTCCGCAGGATTGGAAGGATGCCCTGGTGGTCCCCCTCTTTAAGAAGGGGGACCGCACAGACTGTAACAACTAAAGGGGCATTTCACTCCTCAGTGTGCCGGGAAAGGTCCTGGCAAGGATTATTCAGCATCG